CCTGGGGACATCCATGGAGGAAGCTGGGGTCCTGCTTAATGAGCTTCCTCCTGTCTGCCTCCTCAGGACCACTCTGCCTTCCTTTCAGGAAGGAAATCTTTCATTTGTAATCATTATTCACAGGAACAGTATCACAACAAGGTACAGGCATCATGGTGTTAATTTTATGTGTCAGTTTGACTGGGCTAAGTGATGCCCAGATAGCTGGTAAAACATCATTTCTGGGTCTGTCTGTGAATGTGTTTCTGGAAGAGATCAGCATTCAGAACTGTAGACGGAATAAAGAAGATTGCCCTCACCAGGGCGGATGAGCATGACCCAGTCCACTGAGGGCCCAAGTAGAACAAAAAGGTGGAGGGAAGATAGACTTGCTCTCAGTACTTGAGCTGGGATATCCCTCTTCTCTTGCCCTTGGACATCAGTGCTCCTGGTTTCCAGATCTGCAGACTTGGACCGGGACCATTGGATCCACTGATGTTCACACCTTTGGGTTGGACCATACACCATTGTCTTTCTTGGGTTTCTAGCTTGTGGATGGCAGATTATGGGACTTCTCAATCTTCATAATCACATGTGCAAATATCTTATAATAAATATTGTTCTGTATGTCTGTGTCCTCTTGGTTTGATTTCTCTGGAGAACCATGAATAATACAGATTTTAGTACCAAAAGTGGTTTGAGAGGAAGGGAAATTTAAGGATGAGTTTTCTGAATTGGTTCTGGGCCTTCTGCAATTGGCTCTCTAATCCGATTAGATTTAAAGATGCTAATGATTATTTCCAGCAATGGAGAGAGCACTGGTAGTCCACAGCATATGCAAGAGAAATGCATTGGATACTCCTAATCAAGGCATTAAGTGACTCTGTATTTAATACTTTAAAATATTTTTGGAAAACAGAGGAATATAAATGACAGTGGTTAGTTGCTCCTAATGTGGCTAGACAAAGTGGTGAAAGAAACGGATGAGCTCAGAGATTTGATTTCTCAGCTCAAACACCACATAAATGACGTGAGAGCTTTTTTTTTTTTTAAAGATTTTATTTATTTATTTGAGAGAGAGAGAGAGCACGAGAGGGAAGAGGGTCAGAGGAAGAAGCAGACTCCCTGCTGAGCAGGGAGCCTGATGTGGGACTCGATCCCGGGACTCCAGGATCATGACCTGAGCCAAAGGCAGTCACTTAACCAACTGAGCCACCCAGGCACCCAGAGCTTTTTTTTTTTAAGATTTTATTTGTTTTTATTTGAGAGAGTGAGAGAGCACAAATTGGACAGGGGAGAGGCAGAGGGAGAAGTAGACTCCCCGCTGAGCGGGGAGCCCAGTGCGGGGCTCAATCCCAGGACCCCGGGATCATGACCTGAGCTGAAGGCAGACGCTTAACGACTGAGCCACCCAGGCGCCCCTGACCTGAGAGCTTCTATGTGTGACCTGAAGGAGACCCTGTACACACAGGGCCGAAATTGCTGAAAATCAAACAAAGGACCCCATCCTGCAGTTGGCTGAGTTACAACACAAGTTGAACTCCCAGCCTCATAGGGTGTCTTCTGTTAAAGTGAGAGCAATGACTAGGAAAGAATGAGAGCCTTTAAGTTGGAATGGGGACATACAGGAAGATCCTGACGAAGCTGGGGACATTGAGCCTCTAAATTCTAATGAGTCTTCCGTGCCAGCAGAAGGGGCCTCTCCATCCTCAGTGATACCAGCCATTCCATCGCCCGTCTCTGGGATGGAGACAGGGAAAGTTAAAATGGGACAAAGCTGACTGTTCTTACTGAGCTTCAACTAGTTTTCTCAAATAAATGCCCCTGTATTAATCCCTTTGGTAGGTTTCCAGAATTTTAAAAAATCTTGATTTTTTTTTTTTTTTGAAAATCTTGATTTTTGCCAGTCACGCCAATATTCTCATTCTTTTATGGAGAAAAGAATTTTTTGAACATTCTTACCCTGCTCTTCCTGCTGATGTCGCCTACAGTCATATAATGATGCTCTTAAAAACATGACTGCAGCCCTTTTTCTGTACTTCTCTAACAGTTATGTGTCGTCCAACCAGAGGTTACAACTGTCCATAGTATTCACTTTGCTGAAAAATGACAGATGGTTTTGTTTGTGAAAAGGCAAAAAAAAAAAATTCCTAGTGTGCCCCATTTAACAGCAGCATAGAGTAATCCCCAGCTGTTCAATATTTGTCACATTTCACAAAGAATCTACAACCATCAAGTAGGATTTATCTTCCATATTTCTAAGTGGACATACCTCAATTTGTACAGGTTTTCTCTTTTTTAAAAATATTTATAAAATGCTTTTGAAAAGTAAATCTAACTCATCTTTTCTCACTTTAATTTTTTCCTCAAGAGCTAGCATAAAAATGAGTCTGATCCTGCAATTAATTCCATGATTTTTATGACATTTCTGTTCTTTCAAGAATGCCTTTGTCCCTATGACCTCTAATGGGGAAATCTCTATCTCTGAAAATGGAATGACTGCAATTAATCTTTTAGCATCTCAAAATAAATCGGAATGTTCCCTGTCATCTTTACTTCAAAACATTGGCCCAATCTGTACATGTATATTTATGTGCACACCAAGTAAACTCAGCCTTTTTGTAGTCTGTGGAATTTTCATGACTTTTGAGTGTTCTCATCATATGCATCTGGTCTTAGAACCCAACTGATGGAAATTATTCCTGTCTTTTTGAAAGGAGTTTATTTATAAACAAACTATTTGAAACTGGTCATGAAATAGGCTATTCAGAATCTTCTAACAGTGTGACTTTTCAAGAACATTTTTCACAAAATATCGGAGAAATCTCTTATCTCATATATTCTCTTTGATGGCCTATAAATATTACTAGGAACATGATTTTGGGGAAAAAAAACCCTGTTTTTCATGTAATAGTGTTGAGTGAAACTTACCTTTCTCTACAGTTTACCCTGGTGGTCCTTTATGATTTTTCAATGATTAACAATGTTGAAAAATATCAATATTCGTCTGAAAGTGAAGAACACCTCAAAATGTCTATCGCCTCTTCAGAGTCCCTTGATAGGAGGGTAAGAGTGAGAGGAGAAATTGAACTGGATGGAGAAGCCGGCCTTCAGTAACTGTGATGAGAATGTCTTTTATAAATTTTATGGGAACATATTATTTCAGATCATTCCCAGGGTTTTAAAAGTTGCTTTTGCCGCTGAGGCATCCAGAAACTCAGATATCCTTGAATCTCGACCCCAGTCTTCTCTTCTCACTCTGAAAATAAAAATTCCCGTGGCTTCCTTAAGGTATAACGAATAGCCTCCATTTAGTGATTACAAGTGTCTAGCCAAACCTGACTACTTCCTGCAGGTGGGCTGATAGAAAGGGGAGTCTGTGACATGGAAGAGGGAGAGCAGCAGCTTCTGTGACGCACAGCCTCACGCACTCCCTCATCCCCCAGACGTGCACGCGCACAAGCCGCCCCTCCCCATCGCCCAGACGTGGAGGGGCAGGTGCACAAGCCGCCACTTCTAGTACCACCCTACCTGATGGAATTGAGGGAGGAGAGAAATGGGTGGTAGGAAATTTCCTCTTTACCTGGTCCTCTTGTACATTGGCTTCACTCTCTCTAGACATGGAAGACCTTTAAAGCAGATGCTCTGTCTTGCATGGGTATTTTCATAACTTCTTCAGAGCTCTCTGACCCGTCAGCCTACTGGTTGCACCGAATTGCAGTCTGGGTGATGTTTTCTGTGGTCCTACTGCCCATCCTCTCTCAACCCCTAATTTTCAGAACCTTCAGATGACACAGACTCTCTGTTGGAGTTCTGTCTTCTTCCCAGTTGGTTTACTTGTTCAGGTGTCAAAACAGGTGCAGGCTGACTCTTAGTGTCTCACAGATCACATCTGGTTCATGAAAAACATCACCTGCCCTACGTCCCTGCTCAGCAAAAGTCCAGGGCAATTCCTGTGTGGCCACCTTTGTGGTGGTTGTTCGGCTTTCTTTATAACTTTTTTATTAAAAACAATGTTTGTTCTGTAGACCTCTGAGCTTCAGTGGCAAGAATCAGATTCCATTTTACGATTTTCAGCCCTTCCAGGAAGCGTGAAGCAAGATTTCCTTGAGGTTCCATTGGAACCTGGCCTTCTACCCTCAAGATAAAGGAGGTAGATGATATTCCTCCCCCTGCACTACACACACACACACACACACACACACACACACACACACACACACACACAAGCTTACACCAACTCACGTACCCTGTCGTCTTGTGTGTTGGGCGGTGGGACGAATGGCACAGATTTCTCTGAAGAAATCATCTTCATAAAACTCCTCTCTATATAACTAAAAATCCTGACCATTTTCTACCCTCCAGCTAAGTGGGTATCGGTTCCTAGCATTTCCTTTTGATATCTACGTCATGAGCTGACTCCTAACACACTTTATTACACGATGTCTTTTTTATATCTGTGTATCTCAACCAAATCTTTCAGTATCACATCATTTGCTTTTTCAGGAGCTTGCAGTCAGAAAATCTACTGAATCATATTTATTTGGGTTGGAAGAGGTTCCCCAAAAGGTAGGCCCTCGCTGATCAAAACTGGTCTTGCATCTATCACTGAATTTGAAAATACGGTTATGAGTTGGGGGTCATTAAACCAATCTTTCAATTAATCAGAGACTATCTTCCTAGACTAGCTCCTTATAAACATAAGTAGAAAATTAGAAGTTGTTCTTTTCCTTACCTTTTTCACACTGTAGTCAGAATAATTTCAGAAGTGTGCTGGTTTTGGCAGCACATATACTAAAATTGGAACGATACAGAGAAGATGAGCATGGTCCCCTGCACGAGAATGATGCACACATTCGTGAAGAATAATTTCAGGAGCTAAATCAGGTATAAATTTTTACTTGCGTTCAAATAGGGAGCCTGCCGTCTTTCTCATTCCCATCTTGTTTTCCACAGATACCAGCAGAGACTGTCCTTTCTTCTGGTGCTCTCTTTGAGCTTGGAGACTGGTAATTACTGGGGGGAAGATTCAGAGCAAGACTGAAACTCAGTGATCTGCAGTCTTCTGTTTACCCTTGACAATCCATTTTCTCCACAGAACCTTCATGCTTTGTAGAAAAGGCAGACTTAATTAGTGTAAGTCACAAATAACACAACAAAATTGTCATTTCCAGGCTTTTGTGAGGATTTAAAAGATTAAAGAGCCAGTTTTGTCTGCAATAACTTAAGTCAGGAAAGACTTCATTATTTATTTCGTGTTTTCCCCTCAATCTCTACTAATGTAGGTATTGTCACCAACGGTCCTCACTTATAGGTAAGGTAAGTGCAGTAATTCAAATGTAAGCTGTGTTTGATACAATAAAATAACTTTGAAACCCAAAAAAGTCTAGACAAATAAAAAGATGTCTCCTGGATAAGACTTCCAGGAATTACAGTGGCCTTCTTACCCCTTAATAAAAGAACCCAATATTTAGCCATGTCCCTTGCCACTAACGGTATCCCCTGCCTTCTTGCCAGCCAGGTACAAGCTCCAATAATATGTTCTTTTCGAGATGTAGGGAGAAATTCTGTGCGGTAATTGCAAAAAGAACAAACCTCTTAAGTGGGAAAGTTTATATTCTAATTCGGAAAGAGCTAGCAAATACCTACATAGAAGATTCAAGATGATCCGGGGTACCTTCGTGTTCCTTGTAGTGCTATTTATGATAGCAAACATTTGATAGCCTGAAAGTCTAGCAGAAAGAGATTAATTAAATTATTGTACAACCACGGTAGCGGAGGATTTTGCATGTCAAATTTGTTCAAGGACACTCAATACTATAGGAACGCATCTCTTTGTTTACATGCTGTGCAAGAATTAAGTATATTTTTCCATATGATGGAAAATTATGCAACCTTAAAATATCATTTCTGAAGATTACTTGATAACATGGGGGAAATGTTTATGGCAGCATGTTAAACAAAAAAGCATAATGTTTGCTTGTACAGAATGTCGATATGTGCATAAAACAAATCTTAAAAAGAAATACATGAGAGTGTGAAACACTGCTTTACCATGAGTGGTGAGGATGTGGGCACGTTTCCTCCCTTTCTTTTTATAGAGTCCAAAGATTCTACAATGGAAAAGTATAATCCTTGTAGTAGAAATAGACTTGCAACTTGTATTTCTAAGACTAAGTACAAGCACCGTGGAGACTTTAAATAACAGGAGGGTTGGGAGGCTTCCTTGGCTTTGGCATTTAGAAGGTAATTGAAGAACTTAGCCAGAACATTATCAGTGAAGTTGATGGGGGTAGAAGTCAGTTTGCTGTAGATTAAAATTTTAAATGGGAAGCTAAATGTGTTCGTGAATTTAAGCCCTATTTCCAAAACGCTTGGCTGTGAAGGGATGGAGAAAGATAAAGGAGTAGCTCAAGAGGGACATTTGATGAGGAAGGGACTGTATCTGTATGTTTCATAGGAGATACCAGAGGATATGTAGGGCCGTGTGGGAGTCAGTAGAAAAGCAAACGTTTTGAATATAGGTTAAAAGCCTCAATTTTCTCTGTGAAGGAAGAGAAATTATCAGCGGAGAAAAGTGGCTGGTGGCAGGGTTTGGGAGGAGGTTACTAAAGAATTAAAATGGTTGCTGTGATGAAGAGCACAGGTAGCTGACCAGTGGGCAGAACAGGATTGCCGAGCAGGGTCGGAGTCCAGCTACTACTGTGTTCCCAGAAAGCGTGATGACACCAATCTGCCAAATGTGTGATTTAATCTAACAGCCCGCAGGGGGCTGGGCACGGAGCGGAAAAGGTGAATAACGGGACCGATTCAGAATGGAGAGATTAGAAGTCTGAGTAGGAGAAAGGGGCCGAAATTAGAAGTCCTATGCCACTTCAGTGACGTGGGAGCCAAAGGAGTTGGGGTAGGAATTATGACATGTAAAGAGGTCGAGGTGTAGCCCTCGATCTGATCAGAAAGCGGACAGTGTCCTCAGGAACCATCTGATGAATTCAGGTCATTGTGCAATCCCGAGTCTCTTCATTGCTGATGGGTCTGGTCTGTCAGCCTTTCTTTGGCAGGTTTTACTGTAAACGTGACCTAACCGGGGAACATTTTCCAGGCTCACTTTCTTGTATTTATTTTTCTTTAATTTTGTAGAGTTTTTTGAATAGTCAAAGCAGCAGCAGCGAATAGCAGGTCTCCTGGAGAAGTGAGCACTCCTTGACTACGAAGAACAGAGCTGCTCACTGGAGCCCGTGAGCATGCCTTGTGGTCTGTGCCTTCTAGAAAGAGAGAACGCCCCAAGGTTCTGCATACTGCTGGTTCCTAGGCAGCTCCACTTTGCTTGCTTGAGCAGCATCCCTGATAATCAGATTTTGTGTCAGCCGTGAGCTAAATTATGTGTAAAGGCTGAAAGTTGATATTTCTCTCTCTCATTGGAGGAAATAAGTTAGAAGGACAGTGTCTTTGTTTTGAATTATTTAATTTCTACATATATATTATAGTCTAATAAGTATATATTTTCTCAGTCACATAAATTCACATCTCTTACGTTCCAATTACATTAGACATCAGACGTGATTTTCTTCTATATCATCAAGAAAATGATTTTTAATCATTGCTGCCACAGCATCTCTGAGGCTGTCTGGTTCTTTCTAATCACACGATCAATGGGATGTAGGAGATTCATTGTAAGCTCCTGTGTCTATAAAACAATGTCCAGATAGACTGTGGGATAGATCATGGCCTTCAAGTATGAGAGGGACCACTATAGTATATATAATGATTAATATAGATCATTTCCTCCACATCTACTTATGGGGCTTCTTTGTACCTGTTCTGTGATATAACTAAGAATAGACCCTGTGGGCTTGAAAAACTAGTTGTGTTCTGTGAATAAATTTTTTTAAAAATTTTATTTATTTGAGACAGGGAGAGCGACCATGCTCAAGGGAGCAGGGGAAGGAAAACAGGGTCGGGGAGGGAGAGAGAACCTGAAGCCGACTCCACACCGAGCGCAGAGCCCAAAGGGGGGGGATAGATCTCACAACCCTGAGATCATGACCTGAGCCAAAACCAAGAGTCCATCCCTTAACTGACTGCGCCACCAGGCACCCCATCCTGTGAATAAATTTAATAAATGTTTCATAATCAAGTGGGGAGAAAAGGAAAATACCATGTACACTTGCACATACTCGAATCAAAATTTGCCCTAAATTTCCACAAGTAGCTGGAATGTGTCTTAGAAAATACCCCTAAAAGCAAGTACTTATTAAGACAGTTTATTTTTTTTTAAGATTGTATTTATTTATTTGACAGACAGAGAGTGAGAGAGAGAGAGATCATGAGCAGGAGGAGGGGCAGAGGGAGAAGCAGATTCCCTGCTGAGCAGAGAGTCCAACTCGGGACTCGATCCTGGGACCCTGGGATCATGACCTGAGTCAAAGGCGGACCCTTAACCAACTGAGTCACCCAGGCGCCCCTTAGACAATTTAATAATGATGATAACATACAATCTGTGCCTGACACTGTTAGAAGGTGCTTTATATGTATTATCTCATTTGATCTTTTGCTTAATCCTAACAGATTAATGGTACTATAGTCACTATTTTAAAGGAAAATTGAGGTAAACTACCACGTTAGAGATCATACAACCACCACCACCTCCCCATCCCTACCCTATGCAAGATGTGATATGCCGTTATCCGTTTCACTTACAGTAGGGTAAAGTTAATAAATTTTATGGTTTCTAGGGATTATCAGGGCTTTTTTTCCATTTATCTAGTGGGATTCATTATTTTTGCTCTCCAACGTGGTGTTATTACACTGAGCTTCTTTTATATCTATATTTTGAAATATACTATTTCAAAAACTGAATTGATACAGACAGTAAAATCTAATGACTGTGTGTCAGTGTCATTCATTGAATGGTAAAGTTAACCTGATGCATCTCTCAATACAGAACAAGAATCTATACCAAAATTTGTTAATGCTAAATATTAAAAATCGAACCTTTAATACACTCCAGCATGACCGTTAAATGTTACGGTGTTATGTTTGGTTCTCATTTTTCCTATTTAGATCCATCTTATCTTTAAAGGTTCATTGAATTTTAAGGTACATCAATATAATGAAATGCACACATCATTTTCCATGCACCACTGAACATAGCAGTTGGAATTTTTAAAATGCATTTGTAAGGAGAAACTTAAGGAAGTATGTGTTCTTGTTTATTTTTATTAAAACTCTGCATGCACACCTAAATTACTCTCCTGAGCAGCACATGACAACTATATAACAATTTAGGCTTTAAAGTAGTTTTGCAAGTACAAATTAAGTATCCTCTCACGCAGGCTAATGGAGTTTTTATCAACATTCTCCAGTGGTGGTGGGAGGGTCAATAAACTTTGTCTAAACTGGGGAAGAATAACTGATTGGAACTCGAAAGTCAGAATTGGCCCATTACCGGAAAACATTGAATGATTTTTGTCAAATTTTATGAATTCAACCTGCACCCTTTTCTGACCTCACCCAGCATGTCTTCCCTATAGCAGCTCCCCACTAAAGACTCTTAGTAGGATTCCCCAATACATCTAGTCTCTGCATTTATCCTAAGAGGGAAAAAGATGTCTAAAAAGGAAACTTTTCTCCAGAAGTCATTTCAGTAGGGCCATGACTTTCTTATATGTTCTCATCTTCTCATCTCATCAAACATTATAGCCATCCCTTAACTCCCTGTGACCACTCAGTCTCCAGTCCAAATAGTTACTCTTACAGTTGTGGTTCTCCTTGATACAATGGAGTTCAAGTGATCCTTCAGGAGACTGTAGGTTCAACATCTCCTGTGCCCCAACCCATGGTTCCCGAGGTAATGGTTCCTACACAGTCCTCTCACTTGGGCTGCCTGCCTGTACCACCAGCTGGGTAGTCAACTGACCTAGGTTTAGATTCTAGATCTGTCACTACCACTCGTATGATTTGGGGCAAATCACTTCATTTCTATGAACTTCAGTACTCATATCAAAGTAGTGTTTAATTAAGAAGGATGAGTGTGAGGATTAAAATGGATAGTGCGAATGAAGTTTGTCGACATGTTATAATAGAACCACATATAATTAGGGAGGATATAAAATAAACCCAAATTGGAAAAGATGGATGCGAAGTTGTGGTATATAGGAGAGCCATTATATTGAGATAAAAAGAAATTGACAAGGGAAAAGTGAAAAACAGTGAGGTCTACTATGAGGCTGTCATAAACCATCATATTTTTTTAAATTTTATTTTGTTAATCACCATACATTACATCATTAGTTTTTGATGTAGTGTTCCATGATTCATTGTTTGTGTATAACACCCAGTGCTCCACGCAGAACGTGCCCTCTTTAATACCCATCACCAGGCTAACCCGTCCCCCCCCAGAACCCTCAGTTTGTTTCTCATCATATTTTTAAAGACAGTGTGTTAAGAGTTTGCTTTCATTGCAGAATGACAGTTCAGAATGAGGACATGATGCTCTCTGAGCTTTGGCAACCTGGAATTGATATGTATTTCATGTTCAAGTCAGTGATAATTTCTTCTTAAAAGCAGTCTATAATTGAAAGAAGTAAAATTATAGGCATACCTCCGGTGAAAACAGTAAAAAATGGAATAGCTGTAATTCTCATGATAATCATGAAGCCTTACATGTATGCGCAAGAAATGCTGTTTCAGAAATTACTTGCTGTCAGACGTTCTAACCATCTTTACATGCATCAGCTCATTTAATCATCATATCAACTTTATGATGTCGTATCAATAACTCCACTTTACAGATAACAAAACTGGAGCTCATTGAAGGTACAGGACTTGTCCACAGTGACAAGGCAATTAAGCAGCAAAACCAGGATTGGAACGTCCCTCCCTCACTGCAAAGCGTGTGTCAGCAGTCCCTAGAAGGACCCCTCTCTCTGCCCCTTCTGGCCGGTGGTATGCTGGATGGGGCTGGCCTGAGTGGCTTGCATGTCAGTTGTTAAATTGTGAGCAATTTTGTGAGATGGTGGTTAAACACAGTTTGGGGTTGTTTTTATTATTATTATGAAGTATAGTTGACATACAATGTTATATTCGTTTCAGGTGTACAACATAAGGATTTAGCAATTCTGTACATTATTCAGTGCTCACCATTAAGTGTAGTCACCATACAACATTATTACGATATTATTGACTATATTCCCTATGTGGTACTTTCCATTTTTGTGTCTGACTTATTTTATAAATGGAAGTTTGTGCCTCTGAATCCCCTTCATCTGTTTCACCCATGCCCCTACCCCCCACCCCTCTGGAAACCACCACTTGTCTTTCTGGTTTGTTTGTTTATTTGCTCATTTGTTTTGTTTTTTAGATTCTACATTTAGGTGAAATCACATAATATTTGTCTTTCTCTGTCTGATTTATTGCATTTCGTATGATACCCTCCACGTCTCTCAGTGTTGTTGCAAATGGCGCGATCTCTTTCTTTTTTAAGTCACAGGAATGAGAGGTACAGCATGGGGGAATAAATTGATGCCAGCGGGACTATTTCTATCACAGATGTTGGCCAATGTCACAAATCGTACAAATCAGAGACACTCCTGCCTGCCACGAGAGCTGGTTGTTAAACATTTCCCATCATAGCACTAAATTCAAGTTGTAGATGTCCTTCTATCTTCTGTTCATGGCTAATTGTAAATGCCTTTTAGATTCCCTCAAAAGCAAGAGAAAAAAACTAATCAAAATGAACCGTAAAATATTTCCATCAGGAAACTCAGATTTCCATCAGGCAGTTTATGTTACACCGTGTTAATGTTTGAGAACCTTCATAGAAATAGGACAGTTTCTAATGTCGAAAGTTTTAATACAGACTTTCATCTTTGGGAATTTTTCTCTCAATAGAACTGATTACTTCCAATGAATGGAACTATTCCTACTTTGCGCATAGAAAGAGATGTAGTGCTTTACCTTTACAATACTATAAAGAAAAAAGATTTTATCACGGGAGTTATTGTCATGCTATATGAATGGGGAATACATTGATTGACTTCTCTCTCATGCACAGCGAGTAGCTCATCCCTAGATGGTTCATCCACCCCAGGTGAATGCCAGCGTGTCCAAAACCAATTCAAAATGCCGTCTGTTTTTCCTCTAAGTTTAACAAATATTTAGAATTGCAAGTAGAATAATGATTTCACTTTCAGCTAAAATTATTCTATTTAGGGATTGGATTAGTCACTAATATAGGATGATTTATAGCTGATTTAAATCTCAAATACAAATGCCATGTGTTTATTAATCTACATTCATGATTTTAACTTTATGATTGAATAAATGTTATACAATGGAATTATTCTGGAAGTATTTTAACTCAAGAGTATCAAAATAGTCTAAAAAATTGCCCCCACAATTATGGCATTTTAACTCATATCAATTTGGCTCAGAAACATTTGCCAAGAAAATTATAATTATACTTACGAATTAGTATTTTTTTTTTGTTACCTCATTTAAGAACTATGTCTAAACATTGCATCGTTTGTGGTTTTCGAACACCTCAGGGAAAATGTCCTGGTCATAGCCGACAGAGTGTATCCCAAATGGACCATTTCTTCTCTGAGCATCATTTCTCATCAGTATATGAAGAGGCTTATCATTTTTGTACCTTTCCATAACGTCTAAACCCTTGCCTGAAAGAATCATTATTTTACAAATCTCATCCATCCTGGAAATGTTAAATTAACAAATTTTACCATTAATTTAAAGGTTGATCCAATGCTGTAAGAATTCTCTTGGGACTACGTCCATGTCTTTGTGGGAACCTCATAGTATCATTCCTGTTTCACTTGGGTGAGTCTTTCCATCTCTTCTGTTGGAGTTTAAGTCCCTGCAGTATATAATGTATAATGTCTGTGACTGTTTAAGTGCTTAGGATGAATTGGTGATTCTTTAAAGCATGATAGTATATATTATTAAAGAGCAAGACTGGGGCGCCTGGGTGGCTCACCCAGTTGAGGGGCTGACTCTTGGTTTTAGCTCAGGTCATGATCTCAGAGTCATGAGATCGAGCCCCACATTGGGCTCTGTGCTTAGTGCAGAGTCTGTTTGGGACTCTCTCTCTCCCTTTCCCTCTGCCCCTGCCCCCATATACTCTCTCTCTCTCTCTAAAAAATAAATAAATCTTTGAAAAAAGAAAGAGCGAGACTGATAATATGTTTATTTACTATTTTAAGATTTTAGATGTTGATAAGTATTATGTGAATAATGAGAACAGTAAACCAGAGTCAGTTGTTTAGGGAATATGGGGTGGGAGACTTGGAGTTGTAGTAACCTAAATATTTTGGATATAGTAGGACTTGCTGCAAAGGTGATAACTTTTTGGGACAGGGCCTTCCACACACTAGCTGGTACAATTACTCTATTTTTAGAATCACTAAAATTATTTTTCTAAATAATTAGACATCTCAATTCCAATTATCCCCTTTAATACCTTAAATATTTTAAAGGAAAAGCCAGTGCATATCTTTACACCTAGGTAAAGCCATTTTTATGTGAAGTCTTTTTATAGATCGTAAGTCCAGTATTTTCAAACCTATAGTTGTCTCTCAGTTGAATCTGCTGGATCATTCTCAACCCTGATTTACTAGCAGATTGACATATATTTTTACATTCTTCCTTATGTAGTAGAGATTATGGACATTTTAATAGCGCATAGTATCACACTGTTTCATTGATAACCTAGACCCACTCAAATGAATCTGTTATCATATCTTTTTATTATAATATTGCCATTAGTATTTATTTTTCTATGCATGATATATAATCTATAAATAAGTTATATATAAACATACGTAACTATATGTTATGTATAAGTCATATATAATAGGTAAATATATATAAATTACATATAAACATAAATGTATGACATATATAAATAAATGTGTATATAAATATACACATTTATATATAATACATATACATTTACATACAAATTTTATTTGCCTTATTGCTTTTTTAAGCTGTTTGCAAGTCAAGGAAATAAATCTTATATGGGTTGCAAATTTTTCCCAGTTTATCATTTATCATTTAAATTTTTGTAGTTTTTCATTTGACATTTAATATATATGTGTATAGAAAACAAAAAGTATACATGGATTTGGATTTTTAAAATATTTTACATAGTGCTCACTTCGGCAGCACATATACTAAAACTAAAATATTTTACATAAGTTTATTGATTTTCTTTTTAGTGTGGCTTTTAACACATTCCCTAACATTTTAGAATTTTGAACAAGTCTGAATTTGTAAATTAATTATGTAACAGTATTTTTTTTATGGTGTGAAATGTCCCTCTCTGAAACGATTCTAGATCGTTATTCAAGACGACACAAAACTCCCAGCTCCATGAAGATATTAATTTTTAAAATCATAAGTGTTTTCTGTTTTCCATCACAGAGTGTCTTGCATAAAAATTAAATCCAAATCTAAAAAAGCAGATAAACATCCTAAAAGGAAATAAAAATAGTGAAATGCTACAAGAATAGAAGTTAAGACATGTTTTCTTCAGTGGTGAAGGAGGTTTGCGACGCATGACCTCAGAAGCTGATCGACTAACCGTGTAGTGGTAAGTGAATCACTTAAGTGTCCTGGTCTTTCGTTCTCCACCTAATAAAACAAGAGAGTAGGACTGTCTTCCTTGTTCCCAAGCAATGTGTGGAGGACTCTCTAGAGCATGGAAAAACACTGAGGCAAACAATATACTTTGTTTTCCACCATATCTATCACTAGCACCTCGGGTTAACTCTTTGACAGCTGAAAAATAGAAAACAAAACTTCAAAGTATTAGATCGCCTCTTTCCACCCAGTATAAGCCAACTACAAGTAAATATACTGTGAAATGTGCTTCTGTGCATGCATGTGTAAATTGATAACGGTTTCCATGAACATCTAATGGCGGTATTAAAAATGTCTTAAATTGCACACCTGTGTGAGAGTCGGAAAAGGCCTTTGGTACTGATGTAATTATTCATATAAAGGAACAGATTGGTTTTGCTGAATTCCCTGACTTCTAAATTCTGCCTCTAAGTTTCTAGCACTCAAGGCTGTCTTGATTAAGATGTAGGAGGGAATTAAATCAATTCAAGTTGGATTAATAAAGCGCTGATTTGAATAGAGTGTTATCTCACAATATTTAGGATTTCCTTGCTTTTCTTTCGCTCTCTTAAAATTCTTTTTCCTTACTCCTTGAGTTTAATATATGATTATTCTACAGAAAGTGCCCATATAGAGTGTTTCAGCATCACACATGTGGCCATTTTATATCGGCTGCAGTATTCTGAAATTATAGTTTCATTATCTCCTGGCCTGTTTTTCAGAGAGAAAAATATGTGTATCCCCAACATTATAAGCTTTGGAGGCTTTGGAACACTATTGAGATTGAAGTGCTGTGCTCGCAAAAAAAAAAAAAAAAAAGAAAAGAAAAGAAAAAGAAAAAAATTGATTCTAACAAATGGCGTGCTTTGAATTTTCCCTTCTACTGCATTTTTATTCATTTTTTAATTTTCACATGGTGTTCTGAAGCAGTTACAATGAATCACGGGCCTGAATTCAGCTTTGCGAATATGTTAAAAGAAATTATCGGGCACTTCACTTCATCTAGAAATATCACCCAAGGAAAAAATAATAAACCTTTGCTGGCTGGTGTTGCACAACAAGCAAAAAAGAATTGAATCAGTATTATTGCTTTCCATTTGACAAGCACAACATTGTACTATCTGTGAGAGAGGAACTATTTGTAAACTTCTCTGAACATAGTTACCTTCGTAGGCATTACTTACTAAGATCCATAATGTGCCTCAGTAATGTTGGGTAAATACCCCTGTGCTTGGACATACATTATGTGCCTTAAACTCTTCCACATGAGACATGGATGATGTTTAAGCACTTTCTCCAGGAGTGGAGTGGCCTGCGAGTACCCTCACCTAGATCCAAAGGTGGTAGAAACTGCTCCATACATTTAGGACCCACTGTCACTGTTGGGTGGAATGAAACGTGTTGGCCTTGTGGGGGAAGTTTTTCTAGTGCAACTTCATGGATCATATGAACAGCATTCCAAATGGTGATTCATAACGTCTTCATCTATGGGGAGCAGTTTCCAAATCACTGCTTGCTTGTTGCTTCGAATTCTAAATGTTATTAATCAACTTGTAACTAAGAAGAGCTTTCAGTTGGTGGTCTCTTCCTGAGGACATGTTCTACAGTTATTATGAAACATACCAAGCTGGCTTTTAGTTATCCAGAGACTGGTTTTTCTCTGCTTTTTTCTATGCCGGATATTTGCTTACCCACAATTTTCCTATAAACCATCACACTGAACTTTGGTTTTCAAATCAAGGAGTGTGATGCGGGAAAAGAAGGTAGAAGTTTGCTAAGATCATTTGGAGTCTTGGGTTCACAGCAAGTTGTGAATCATGGATTAGTCCCATTCCTCGTTGGTGTTCTCTCTAAGGCGTACGCAAAAGGAAGACACAAAAGGAAGCTGTCTGGGTACAAGTGGGGAGACAGTTGAACAGATTGTATACCTCGTTCATTGTGGCATAATAGAACCATTGATGAACTTTTTAACTGCAAAAGGTACCAAAATTATTCTGGTTATTCCAGATGCCATTTCAAACATCTTTCAGGCTGCTGAGAAACTAGATGAAACTGAGAAAGTTAGTATAATGATTGAAGAATGTGGAGGTTTGGACAAAACTGAAACTCTACAAAACCATGAAGACGAGTTTGTGTACAAAGCTTCATTAAACTTGATTGAGAAGTATTTCTCTGTAGAGGAAGAGGAAGATCAGAATGTCATGCTAGAAACTACCTCTGAAGGCTATACGTTCCAAGTTCAGGATGGCACTCCCGGGAACTGTAACTTTTAGACTGTGCAGCTGAGGCAGAAAGTTGTTTGTTGTATATTCTGTTTGGTAGAAGTTTGTCTTACTGTTTCTCTACTAAGAACTCTTTTTAAATGTGTTTTGTTATTGTAGCACTTTTTACAACGAAACTCTACTTGACCAGTTCCAAACTGTACAACCTGTATGAAGCGCATACCCTCAGTGCGTTTCTTATTTCTATGTGGAATCTCTTCTCTTGCAGTGTCTCGTAAATAAAGATTAAATTCCACCCTTTTCTTTAAAAAAAGTTTATGAGATGGTAGGTAAATCAATGGCTTTGTGAGTTTCAGGAATTGTCCATTAGCCTAGCTGTCTTTTTATTGCCGTGGATAATACCAAACCATATTTTTTGCTACTCTTAAACAGCGGAAAACCATGTATTTATTATTTATTTATTTTAGAGCGTGCACAAGTTGGGGAAGGGAGTGGCAGAGGGAGAGGGAGAGAAGGAATCTTAACCAGCCTTCACACCCAGTGCAGAGCCCTACAGAGCGCTCGATGCTGTGACCCTGAGATCATGAACTGAGTCTTTTGAACTCAAGTCAGATGCTTAACCAACTGAGTCACCAGGCACCCCTACATATTTACTCAGGTCCCTGCTATTAAGACTTTTCGGTGTCTTCCTTTTACATAAATTATTAATAAATCCTGCATATTCAGAGACAATACCCATGTAAGTAAATTTAAACTTTTCTTCACCTCTTAATATTTTAACTATTCTAATAAACACTTTCTGTATTCTGTTTCCACTAAGAGGCCCAAATTTCAAGTACAATAAGAATAATGCAGGAATTAGTTTCCTTTTATATCCCAAAAGTCTAGAGCTATAGACATAGATGGGCATTCGTGTGTAACTTCAGAATAGTATACTTAATAGTTTGAGTCCTGTTTTAAAGCTGAAACGGTTGAGGCTTTTATGGCTGTTAGGTCAGCTTTGAAAGTTACCTTCTTTGTGATAGTTGTTCCTCTGATTTCTCTGTAGGGGCTGCAAATGTCAAGACTTTCAAGGACTCAGAACGTGATCCTTTGTTCCCTTCAGGATGTTTTAATGACGACAGTGTGATCACAGATATTTTTTCTTTTTCCCTCTTGAGAGAAGTGGGGGAGATTAAAGCAAACGGACAACCAACAGGAAATTGCCAAGTTAAAGGTAAAATTTGGCTCTTCTTAAATAGTATTTTTTAACATTAAATTTGAATTCTTTAAGAAAAAGCTGCTTTTAAAAAATGTGTCCTTAAATTGTATGCTTTCATGCCGTTAAACATTTATTTGTTTCAAATACATCAAGAATTCATTCATACAAAGCTTTATATTATCTTTAATCATAAAATACAACTAGGCTTATTGAATATGAATACATTCTGTAGTTTGATGCATTATAAAATGCTGTGCTCTGCTTTTTTGGAAAAAAAAATCTCCTTTTCAGTGTAAGTTTGGCTTATGAATATTGTAACTGTTTTCTTCTGTTCACATTCAGTGAACTGAGACAACCTTCCTTCTAGTATTTGGAGTCTCTTTCCATGATTTTGTCTTATGAGGATGCATATTCAATGGTTGAGTATCTCTGAAGAAAAAACTTTGGAAAGCTCATAACTTTTATGGGTACTCTAGGTTTTGTTTTTATTTTTCAGTACATATCAGGGAAAAATTTTCATTGGTTTACTTTCAAAGAAAGGTTAAACAGATGTCACAATCAGAGTAGATAAAGCTACTGTTTTTCTCGCCAGGACAATTTTATTTTGGCATAGAAGATACATAGTAATTATCTCTCTCAATTAGCAGCGCATTCAGAGTATCACTGCCACTTAAGTTATACACCAATTTGCCTTCTGAATGTTTCAAATATTTTTTGTAGAACCTACTCGAAGCCTGTCTTTCAGATGTCTGAATAAAAAGTGTTATTTCATTCAATTAAACATCTGAATCTAGAGACTGTAAATCAGAATACTCAGATGGTGGACAGCATGAAGTCTAGGGTCAATAAAGGTAAGAACTTTTATTATGCTTGGAGAAATCTTTTCCTACCTCTTTTTTGTCACTGGGTAGTAATGGTATATTTCTGCTAAGTATGTGGTCAGCAAAAAAGGAGCTAATAGCCCATTAACAAGCTTTTACTGGGCCAAAATTTTTCTGGTTTAGAAAAACATGTAAAAAGTAAAATGGCATCTGGGCTAAGCCTGGGGGAGGTGGTCTCTGTCAGGGGATGTGCTGTGAGCTGTTGGCAGCCAGTATCCCCATCAGCCGGGGACCCAGGACATTACCAGTGTCTGCTGGAGCACCACAATATCCCCTGCAGCCTCCATGAAAGCTTCATTTCTGTGACTGGAGCCATTGTAGCAAGAACAAATCAACAGGCTTCGGGCAGCATTCAGCAATCCTCCTAAGACCATCCACCTGCTAAGTGAAAGGAGGAGCACATGGTAGGTTGTCTTCAATTCTGTGCATCGCTTGTATGAGGAGGCTCCCATAAACTCTGGGCTGGAGGCCCTCCAGAGGTGTATCTACCTTTCTGAGCCATGACTTCAGTCCTCCACTCCCCTGGCCGGGCCCGTCCTTCTAGGTATGATAACCTTAATATTTTTAGCTAAAGCCTCTTCTTTCAGCAACACAGGTGATTTATGGGGGTAGACTTTTTTTTTTTATATGGACATATTGAAGAACTGTCAGATTGTGTTGATTAAGTACTCAGACTCAAGAGGCAAATTGCCAAGGTTAAAAACAAGGTGATAAAGCATACTACCGAGGAGTCTCTCGGCAGCTTCTCCATGCTTTGGTTTATCTTCCTAATAAATAAATCAGGAATGATGGTGATAGTGGTAGTAGGAATAACAGTAGTGCCTACCCTCTATAGGGTTGTTTCAAATATTATATGAAATTAATCTATATAAGGTATTCAGGGACATGGCAAACAGACCATTAGCTACTAGAATTCTCTAAGTAGATTGTAGTAAAATTATATTCTAAAAGTAACTTTTATTCACACAGAGTAACCAAGAGTCATACTCAATGTATTTTTATAGCATCTCTGAACTAGAAGTGCAGTCATCAGAGATCCAAGGTTGGAGCCTCAGACAAGTAAGGATTTGTCCTCAAGCTTCTTTCTAGCCACTACACCAAGAGAAACCAGCACAGGGTAGGGTGGGGATCTTAGTGCTCAAAGGAGCCCCCAGACCAGCCTGGCAAGCTAGGGGTTGCAGGGGAAGCAACTGGTAGCCTTGCTTTCTAGGTTGGTATATTCCCTTTCCTGTCAAATCATCACAAACTTGGTGGCTTAAAACAATATAAATGTATTGTCTTAGATTTGTGGAGGTGAGAACTCTGAAATGGGTCTCAGTGAACAAAAATCACCATGTTGCCCGGGTTGTGTTCCTTTTGGAGGGTCCAAGGGAGAATCCTTTTCCTCTTCCCCTTGAGAGACTACCCACGTTCCCGGGCTCATGGCCTCTTGCTTCATCCTCAATGCCAGCAACTGTATGTAGATCCCTCTCGCATCCCAGTACATTACCCTTACCTACTGTCAGCCTCCACCTTCCGACGGAAGGACCCTGTCACTGCGTTGTACCCACCTGTGTTATTCCAGAATAATCTCCACATCATCCAGTCACTTGGCTAGCAGTCTGAATTCCCTCTGTAACTTAAATATTCCTTTGACATGAAAGGTAACATAGCAATGGGATCTGGTATTTAGGACATGGTCATCCTTGGGAGGTCTTCGTTCTGCTTACCACTGAAGGCTAACCATCACGCTAAGGAATAAAACGGAGGAGGAAGAAAGAAATGCAACACTGCGAATTGAAAATGTTCTTTAAAGTATGAGGATCCAGAGGAAACACATACCACACACAAACACAAACAAAGGAACCCTACAGAGCAAGGCCTTCCAAGATCAGTTGCTTTTTCTCCAGAAAGTCAGTATTATCGAAATGCTGCCCTGTTGCTTTC